ATTTATTCCCTCCCTTTTTTTCCCGACGGGGGGTGGGGGGGGGAGAAAGGCTCCCCCGTAGTGCCGCAATACGGAGTGATTCAAGAATTGGTCTCACGAGAAATTAAAATTCTCCGGTGATTCTTGACCTAATCAAACGGGTTCCGATAATGATAGGTTAAACTCTCGGGTGAAACACGCAAGTCTGTCTATTATTTATTATTATTCCTAATGTTTTTCTTAATTATTTTTTTAACATGTATGTTTAGGCCTACTTGTGTTTCGTGTTTCTCTTGTTTATGTCGTACTTGACAGCTTATCATTTAAATAAAATGATAATGTAGGCCTACATCTATTGAAATATTAAAGTAATCAGTTGTTTTAAAATTTGTACCAATGAATGTTGGCTTAAATGGAGTTTCTATACATTTTGTTCAAACATTTTCCCAGATTAACTAGTGTTTAAATTTAGTTTAGTGGTTTCCTGTGTCTATGATTTTTTTAATGGTATTGTTTTAACCATTTTAACTTTAAATACTTCTGCTTACTTTCTCTACTTATTCCAAGCCATAGGGGGCGACAGACTGTATCATTATACTGTACTTGTATTTGGATAGGTTATATGCTTTCAACTAAAAACAAGCAAAAATTTAGGGAAATTTAAATATACCATTGCTATAATCTGTATGTGGCGTTTACCTCACACTTACTGCTAACAAATTTAAGAATTTTTGTAGTAAAATTTCTGTAAAATTACATTAGGTTCTTATTTTATATTTTTATATTGTTTATGTTAATTTATATCTTTATATTGCTTTCATGTTTTATGTTGTATTTCTGCTAAATCTTTTACTATATTTTCTAAAAACTTTTGTACCCAGGGCCCAAAGGGAGACCAATCTACTTGACTGATTGGGCCACCCTGGTTAAAGATTGTGAAAAATAAATAAAAAATAGTTAAAACTATTTTTTCCATACTAACTTTTGGAGTTTTTTAAAATGAGGAATTTGACATTTATTTAAAGTTTCTCTTTTTTACTTGATTTGTGGGTAGCATTAGACCTATATTTTAAAAATAAAAGTATAATTTCATTTTATTTTTGAATGGGAATTTGAAGGAAAACAGAACAAATGCTGAGCTTCTTGTAAGATTGATTCATTTTGTTAGGATGAATTATGTTAGATTTATCCAAAATAAATAACATGGTTTTTGAGTAAAAATGTTACACTATGGAGATATAGAATTACTCATGTTACATACAATGATGATTATACTGTTAGACCTAGCCTGGGTTCCAGGCCCTAATTTTAGGTTACTCACTCTTTATTGCACTTAGTGCGCGCCATACCTAATTTAATTGGCGTCCCATACTCGATTTCTTTTTTTTTCGAATTATTCTGTCTATCTCTAAATTAACTTTCTCGTTGGTGGCGCTGTCCAGAATGAGAAAAATAATTTAAAAAAATAAGAGACTTGTGGCAAGTCTATGTTAGACCATACAAACCAAAGATATTATAACAAGACAGTGTTCTCTGTGGTTTTGTAGTAAAACAAAAGCAGAGTAAATAACATATTTGCTTAATTATTATTATAACTACACTCATCTATTAACAAATTTATATAATTCTGCTGTTCAGGATTATTATATTTTCCCAGATAAATCTCACAAAGATCAGTATAAACTGTCTAACTGTATAATACTTGCCTTGATAGCAGGTTCAAATCACTGCAGGGGATAAATCGGCCGGCGAACAGTGTGCTGGCATTGAGTTTTGTCCACACTATGAAATTTTATATGATATTTGGATGTAATATGATATCATATCCATATATGAGCAAATCACATAAATTTATCACATAAAATTTGATTGTGCAGAGCATTAAATTAGGCCTAAAAATAAGATAAAGGTTGAGAAACCGGACAAAAGATATTTCAAAGCACAGAGTCCGCCCAATAATGCCCCTCCATCTCATTGGTGTTCCTCTATCACCTACCTGTAACATCCTTTCTAACACAATTAATTTCCAAGTCCCCCTTGATTTATGAAATGTTATTACAATAATGCATTCCAGCCTGATGCAGTCAGACACAAAACAGTACGAGACATAATGAACCTGAATCAGCTTTATTAATCAAAATTTACAAGACATAAAGTGATGTGTAACAATATTGTCCATTATTAAGTTAGCATTATTTCATTTCATGCATTTTGCCAAATACAATTACACTATAAAAACAATAATGATACAAAAAATGTTGGTTCTCTGACTCTTCATTATAGTGTCCATACCACTGTAATACAGTATCATTTTCTTTAAATGTAGAGCTCTTAACTATAACAAAACAAATAATAATCATAGGGTTACTACAAATGTTTGGTACAATTGTATTTGGTAATAAGATTTAATAAATACCATAGGCAATAACCATATACAGAGTACAGTTTAATATAACACAGCCCATATCTTACAGGCTGTACCTCAAATTTGTCTACTTTAAATGTTACAATTAGAGCACACAGACAGTGAGTGCATCTAACAGTCTTGAATGGGGAAGCTGATGGGTGAAGTGGAGGCCTGATGATTACATTCTCAGGTTGCACTTCTTGCAAAATCAACCAATGACTATGTTTTTTGAGTGAAGTCTTACTATTTCAATAAAAATAATAATAATAATAATAACGATTTTTAAAATAGATTCGCGTAGAGGATGAAGAGTAAAATAATTTCGTTTAGAAAATAGTAGACTATCACGAATATACATGGTCACCCCTCCACCATCTTTGTGAGTTCTATGATTGGACACAAAATAATAATAGGAAGTTGGATGAGGGGGTTGTCATATTTGAACCACGTTTTCACTCAAATATCGTTTTTATTCAAATAATATTTTTTCTCTTCTGTACTTTTTAATAACAATTTTATCTGTATATATTGTAAACTTCTCGCAATTCAGTATTTTACTGCCAGTTGAAGTTAATAAAGAAATCTGAATATCAAAGGATACATTGAGTGATGTTAGAAGCTGTTTCATTTGATCAAGGTTTTTTAAAATGCTTTAATGTTAAAACAGATAGTGGATAAACAGTCTGTCAAATTTGTAATAGGGAGCTCATTGGGATCATCATATTGAGAAAAGCTCTGAGTATTGGAAAAGAATTTGGAATCAGGGTCGATATTAGAAGAAAAAACATTGGGAATGTTCAGAGAGAGAGAGAGAAAAAATAAGTTGGGTTAATCAGCCGGAATTCAACGTGCTGCTACAAGAACAACAATCAAAATAGAACATAAAAACTCAAAGTTACAAAGAATAAAATATAAAATTACAACAAAAAGAGAAAAAAAATTTTAAGTATTTTGAAAACTTTGAAAAGTAAATTAAAAAAAAGATTAAAAAATTGCATCACAGTTATGTGTTACAAAAAATTTGGTTGATAGTGTGGACAGAGCTTCAGACAAATTTGATCAAACAAAAAGTTGTTTTATGTCAGTTTGAAGTCATGCAATGCTTTATATAACAATGTCTAATTAACTATTGCCTGTACAGTCCATCAGATAAAAATTGATTTACAATACCCTGCACAAATATGAGAATTAATTTATTGGTTTATTGATTTAAAAATATATCAGACATATGAACATATTATTATAGTACACACCCCCAAAAATCACACCCCCAAAAATCACACCCCCAAAAATCACTCCCCCTTCCTGAAAAATCATTGTCAAGTCCTGCCCACTACACCTTCGTTCCCTCACCCCAAACAGCACCCCCTTCCAAGACTTCTAGATATGCCACTGCATGACCATTCTCCATTTTTTTGTAAAGTGAACTAAATTATTGTATTTGGTTGCATAAAAATGTTTAATATATCCATAATTGATTATAAAAAATCTATTTTAAATATTGCATGTTATTTTGAATCAACATTGTCATGCATTGTAAAAGTCTATTTGTCTACCTCTCTCCTACCTAGCATACTGTCTGTACACTTGTGAAAATTGTGAACTCAATAAAATAGTCCTATCAAATAAAGTCTTATAAGTCTAATAATTTTTGGAGGCTTTCCATGCCTGTTCCCATGTTACCTATTTTACGCATTCCTGTACTTCAGTAGGCCTAGCATAGTTCCTATCATTGTAAACAAATGTTTATAAAGAAATGCTTGTGTATTTATTGTGTTATTTATTCAAGAGCGGCGCTTAACAACAAAAAAATGTTTGGTGCGGCCCTTATTCAAGCACTTACGGTTTACAATACTAATAAAGTTTAATTAAGATATGTAGACCTAAAGGAAATGAATAAATTAATTAAACACATGTGCCAGTTTTGGCTCCAGAATTTTGTCGACAGGGGTCCAACATGTTTAAATCAAGGTTCGACTAAATCCTTGGACAGGATACCTGCATAAACATCCCTAAGTTCGCGTTGAGAGTTGTTATAGGGCTTAGTATGACCCAAATTGTGCTTTTAGATCGCAATATTAGGGACTGACAATCAAAATAATGTTATCTAGATATAGGAAAATTATTATTTTTGGTCCTGACAGTCTCATTGAATAAACCCCTGGGGCATTTATTGTTGGGAAGGGTTTTTGAGGAAGAGTTTATTCGATTGAGGTGTTTAGTTATTTTGTGTAAGATGGATACAAGTTTTAAGAAAATTTATTGTCCAAGTAAAGCTATTTACACTAGACATGATAATGAAACGATAAAAATGCGCTGAGTGTTGAAGAAAAAAAAAATGTGTCGCGTCCTTATCGTGTCTAGTGTAAATGTAGGCTTAACAAGCGATACATGGAAATTCTGTTTCTACTGGCAGTGAATGTTATGTTATACAAAGACTTAAATAAAAGAGTCAATCTTATTATTTATTATACGCTGGGCAACTTTCCTATGATGCTCTAATTTCTTTACATTTAAATTAGTTTAAGTTGCAGAAAATACAGATCAAGCTAAATGTCAATAAACTTTGAATTACAGATTGATAAAAAAGTTTGAGAATATGAACATCAACAGTTTCTGGAGTTTTCTTTAAAAATACTTGTTGGCCTTGGTGGATAATAACATGCATGGTATTTTTGTTTCAGTTTAAGTTTTCATCTATGACTGTGCCTAGGGGCCTGTCCCCACTGGAAAGAAAAAAAAAATTGAATGGCAAACAACTGGTTTTGGCTGTGCCAGCCTCACAGAATTATGAAATATTAGGTTGCCCTTCAGCAACCAAGATCTCAGATTTGGTTGCCTCATACTTTTTTACTTACTCCCTATTTTAAACTGTTTTACCATATTTTTTCACTTACTCTTAAATAGATTTTTACACAAAAGAAAAAGTCTGAACAAATCATGTTGTGTATAAATATACACAAAAACTTGCTTTAATATATTGATATTCTTATGATGATCATTTAAACTAATTGGTTTTTAAAAGACAAACACAGTGACTAATTAAATAAAGCAAATCAAGGTGATGACAAAGAACCAAAAAGTAGCTGTGAGAAACAGCATTGGATCGATACCCAAGAATGAAGCCAAAATGATAAAGGGTTTCTATTACAATTACTTTTCTTTATAGTATATTGTACAGTTCCTTGCACAATGTTTTAGAGAAATTTTAATCAACTACAGTTTAAGTCTTAAAAGTGGTGTGTTAGCAGCAACAGAAAAAAGCGATTATCAGGTAATATGTGAACTCCAGGTCAAACCATGATCGTATCACGCACAAACTTTCAAAATGATTAATCCTCTTGTTCATGTCCTAAGCTAAAACGTCAACAAACATGTGCAGCAACGAAATTACTCATTTTGTAATTATTTTGTGGTGGATATATTGGGCCTAGGCCTCTCCGCTCTTCTTTTGTGCCTACTGTCTTCCTCGTTTGTTTGCTCGTTGTGCCAATGAGCACAGACGAAAGCATTCGCCTGCTTGCCGCACAATATATTCTCCTCCTCGTCATCTTGACTGAAATTTATGTGAAACAAGACAAAATACTTAAGGTATACTGTCTTGTTGGTGAGAAAGGAACTATACAGTTTTGAAAACGTGTTTTATAAACAACATGGCGACGCAATTTCTGCTGCAAAAAACCAACTTTTGTAAAAGCAAAAAATGCAGTTGCAACGTGGGCGCTCACAAAAAAAAGCAGTTAAAAAAAATCAATTATTTTATGTTTATCAGTAGAAACACATCCTAAATATTTGTATTCACATTAGTAACCTGATGAACATTTATGCCATTGACTGATAGTGTTAGATGAGCTGTCCTTGCTTTACAGAAATTAAAAATTACCTCTTTGGTTTTATTTATATGAAGTGGTAAATGTTGATTATTGTACTATTCGGCAAATCTAGTTATTTCCTCAAAAAAACTACATACTTAAACAAACGTCCCTTATTTTTACTGTAAATGAGAAACTACAACACATAATTACCATCAAAATGTGTTATTACATGATCATGACAAATTATTGATCCCAACCAGGTACAAAAAATGTAATTTTACTGGAGTACAACATTATTAGAAAGTGTTGGGAATAATGTTGCTTCCATTAGATTTGTTTATTAGGAAATTTGAGAAAAAAATAAATGCCTTTTTTTTTCGGGGAGGAGGGGGAGTTTTTTTTGGGGGGAGGGGAGAATTTACTCCAAATGAGGCTCTAGAGGGGAAGCTTGTTCGAGGGGGAATTTATTCAAATATGGTTTACTCAAATAAATATGGATATTCATCACATTTTTAAAAGTAACATAGTTTTGGCAAAGTGGCCATTAACTCAGCAAACTGGGTTTCAGTAAACTGAATTTCGACAAACATACATCATGGATACATTAAATTGTACACTATCCATCCATTATTTATAATCATTGTTGCAATTTTCCGATTTGAAAATAGAAGAAAGTCAAATTGAATGTTCTATATTACAGTAAAGTTGTCATTTAGGTCAAAATTTTGTTGAAGACATTTCAGACTTATCCATTTCCATTTTAGTTGATTCCGATTGTGCATGATTGCCTTTTAATAGTAATCGTAAAAGTCATCATCTTCATCCCACATAATCCTAGGCTGAATAGTTATTCTTACTCTATATAATTCTGCAAGTGATTTACTATCAATATCTGAAAGGTCATTGCCTTCTAATGTAAACATGTTTTCTTTTAATTCTACATTCATCCTACAACATTCCTCCATCATTTCATTAATAATACTACCTGATAAACTACAATGGCTCATGTCAATATAGATCAGGTGTGTACATGCCTTTAAAAGGTGAGCTAATGTTCTTCCTTTGATTGAAGATAGGTTAATTCTGCTCATGTCTATCCTCTCCCAATCCAATGTCTCATTCTCACTTATTGATTCAACCAGCTTTTCCAGATTATCAGAGGTGAGTGAATAATCTTTCCATTTGAAAGTATAATGCTCATAAATTACCCTGACTAATTCAGTGAGTGATTTACCATTAATATCAGAAAGGTCATTGCTCTCCAATTTAAGCATGTTGTTGTTTAATTCTACATTCATTCTATGACATTCGTCCATCATTTCATTAACAATACAACCTGATAAACTACAATCACTCATGTCAATATGGATCAGATGTGTACATGCCTTTAAAAGGTGAGCTAATGTTCTTCCTCTGATTGAAGATAGGTTAATCCTACTCATGTCTATCCTCTCCCAATTCAATGTCTCATTCTGACCTATTGATTCAACCAGCTTTTCTACATCTTCAGCTGTGAGTGAGTAATCTTGCCATTTGAACGTATAAGGCGCATAAATCACCCCAAGTAACGCAGCAAATGATTTACCATCACTATCTGAAAGGTCATTACCCATCAATGTAAGCAGGCCATCTTTCAATACTAAATTTATTTTACAGCATTCCTCCATCATTTCATTAATAATACTACCTGATAAATTACAATGGCTCATGTCAATATTGATCATGAGTGTGGAGATCTTAAAAAGGTGAGCTAATGTTTTTCCACTTATTGAAGATAGGTTAATTCCACTTATGTCTATCATCTTCCAATTCAATGTCTCATTCTCACCTATTGATTTAACCAGCTTTTCTAAAATATCAGATGTGAGTAAGTAATCACTCCATCTGAAGGCATAAGACTCATCAATCACCCTTACTAACTTAGCAAGATATTTACCATCAATATTTGAAAGGTCATTGTCTGTCAATTTAAGAATCTTGTCTTTCAATACTACATTCATCCTACAACATTCATCCATCATTTCACTAATATTACTACCTGCTAAATTACAATAACTCATGTCAATACGGGTCAGGTGTGGAGACATCTCAACAAGGCAAGCTAATGTTCTTCCGCTAATTGAAGCCAAATCATTCTCTTTTATATCAAGAAATCTTATTTTCAACCTTACATGAGTCTTATGCAATTCATTGAAAACTAAATTGAATTTAGATGCAGCTGTAGGCCAATGATTAATATGCAAGTTATATAGGTCATTTGCATGTTTTAGGAAATGAATCAAAAATGATAAACTACAATCAAATCCTAATTTGATGAAATAGAGATTACAATATGTCAAATCTAGTTTTTCCATCTCACCTGATAACATATTGATTGCTTTATTTTCCCATTTTGAAATGTATCTTAAAAAATAGTTTGTTTTATATACCCTTGGTAGTACAACTGTGTTTTGTACAATACTTCTGCAAGAATTTTTCAAAGACTCTTCATTGGATGTATTTATCAAAGGAAATGCTTTCTCCAATTTTACATTATTGTGTCTAAGGTAATTATATTTTCTCATAAGTTTAAATAAAGGCACATTTGTTAGATCTTTGTCATCAAGAACACTTCTAACAGACTCGCACATTTGCTCACAGTGTTCTTTCATTTCAATGGACATGTGTTTATCCAATTCTTGTACTACATGGTCTTCATAATCCTCCTTTACATATCTCAAACATTGTGCTATAGAATAAAAATTTGAGGCCCTGATTATCAACCAATGTTTAAACAATTTACAAACATCAGCACCAAGAAATCCTATTGTAAATACTCTTGTCATTTGTAAATACTCACTACATCTTATCACCTCATATTCTTCAGCTTTCAAACTCCCTTGTTGGCTTTTTTCAAACAGGTAAAATCCTGCTAGTGACTCTGAAATTAATTTATGCGGTGTAGTGTAAATCTCCCTTACATCACCTGGTTGAACAGGGCTATCTTTATAAACAAATCCAAGTTCGAGTGCTAAATGTACCAAATGTTTATCATTTTCTTTGTTTAACAAAACATATTTGTCAATGGACAGTTTATTTTCCTTTAGACCTTCATATATACATTCTCCTAATATTTGAATGGCATGTCTGTATTTCTCAGGAATTCTCTCAAACTGGAAAATAGAACTTCCATTGCCTCCTCTGTTTTGATATTGATTTAAAATGGAACAAAATAATTCCTTGAAAAGATCTGACAAATCTTTAGGAAGACACTGTTTATCTTGCCAAATGGTACAAATCTTAAGCAATAACAGTGGAGATGAGCACAATTCAAATGCTTCTTTGTGATCACCACCAAACAAAAGAACCTCATCAACAGAATCAGGAGGAGTATGATAACATTCATACTCATAATAATCATCACCATACCATGTAAAATAATCATCATTATTTGTATAATTAGCATAAACATTATCATCCTCATAATAATCATCACCACCATCATCTTTACATTTATCAAGTCCAAACTCCCGAATTAGTGAGTCACCAATTTCAGCTTTACCAATTGAAACAAAATGCTTATGTATATATTTCTTTTTGTTTCTTGGACTGAACCCCATTACTTTAATATGTATGTTACACCATTTAAAAAATTTAATTACATTGTCTGGTCGGGATGACATCAACACGGTGCATTCACCTAATTCAGTTCTTTCGAATAGATCTATTGGATCTTTAGCACCTTTTTTTAACTCATCGTATCCATCTAACAAAATCACTATTTCATCAGCATGGGTGACCAGAAAATCTTCAATGGAATTGGGTGGCAATTTATTCTTCAATATTAAAGTTTGCCAATCAATTTTCTCCATAATTATGTCTAAAAACTTTTGACCTGCTTTTAGGTCTCTAATATTTATCAGAAACAATAATTTATTAGCAAAGGCATTATCTACATTATCAGTAGCCCACTGATGAGCAATATATCTAAGGAGTGTAGTCTTACCCATTCCTCCTTTACCTGTTATTAATACCTTACAAGATTCTCTTAATTTAATGACACCTAATACCTCTGTTAATGATGTGGGTCTACCTTTCTTTTGTACTAATGTTGACTTGGCTTGTAATTCTTCATCTTCATCAGATTGTATTAAGATGAGTTCAGTGAATACTTCTGCAATATCTACTTCATGATGTTCATGCCAGATTGTTGGTGTCATTTGGTTCACATTCTGATACATTTGCTTTTGCCTTTTAGTCAAGAAATTTCTAATAATTATATCTGGAATAAAATCAAACAAGAATACATTTCTATTATTTGTATTTGTTGTACAACTATTTGAATATTATATTTTAAGACATTTTATCAATACATTTCATTTTGTTGGCCAGCAATTAGTTTAGAAGATTAGGAAAACATTAAAATTTAAAAGCTCCTAATTAGAGTTGATTGCTTTAATAAGAATAGGAAATTGTCACTGGCAATATTAGTAGGAGAGAGCACATCCATCAAGGCTCTGTATTACAATGTTGGATACAGTAGTAATGATATAATTTTGGAAACTTCTACAGCACTGGATTCCACCATTCAGTGTTTATGTCACTTTTGCTATCGAGGCTTGGACATGAGCAGAGAAAAAAAGAAACAAAACAAGTAGTTGAGTAGGCAGGGTTGTCAAGCACATATTCAGTCACTGAATGGTTGGAAATCAGCCATTAAATAGAATACAGTGCTTCCTACAATGTTAACAAGAGTATCTTAATTATAACAAATGTCACCATACCTCGTCTTAGCTGCTCATGGTGCTCTGGGTCTAATGAAATCACATGTTCAGGATCCTTCTGATTACCTATGTTTAAACAATAAGAACATCAGAGCAATTATTTCTAAATCAATTGAAAAAATTATTAATGTTTTTTTGTCCAATCACCTGGTATAACCGTTGTTACATAAGATTGACTATTCATTTTGGAATCGAATACCCTTGCTCTAATTTAATACCCTATAATGTTTCCAACAACAAATGATTGTTTAAACTATCACTGCCACTAACACCATGCATGTTGGAATCGGGTACCATTGCCATAGTAATCCACAATGCTTCCAACAACAACTAGAGGGGATGACTGTAGCCATCACTGCCATTAAAAGCATGCAGGTGCAACAAACCCTATTGACTACCGTAGTTGTAATTGTTGTAATTGTCCAGACAAAGATGACCACACATGCACTTTTATAATACCAGGTTAATGATAATGTTTGGAGTCAAAACCATAAATTTAGTATATTAATATAGTCTACTGCATATAAATATACTCTTATAAAAATGTTCATATATTTCTATAAATATTATAGACAATCATGTATTACCTTTACCATTTTATCAGAGTTTGAAGATGCATTTGAAACTATAAATGAACTGTACAGTGAATTAGGCCTACTTCCAAAACACTGAAAATACCTGTATTGGAAGTATTAATTTGTGTAGTCTAATCAATATTATCTTAGAATAAAAAATTAAATACCTTTACACAGAGCATCCACAGCTTTTTTGAGTTCAAGATTTTTTAACTTTGTAATAAATTTCTCCATATTTTCTTCACAAATTACACTTCTCTTTTCTAGATCCATAATTAAACACCAGCTGTCTGCATACTTTTTTAATGCATCATTATACAATTGATCAATCTTGGGCACATCATCTTCTGTCAGTAATGATCCCAACTTCATTAGTTTGAGTCTGTGTGGTGTGTAGCTGGATATTTCAGTATCTTTAATATTTGCAGGAATTGGACATGATGGCAATTGTTCTTTAATTTTCTTAACTAAGCCAAATTGTTTGCTCACTTTTATGGTGTCATAGATTAGAGTGAGATTGGTTGAACTCAGTTCATCATGATCGGTTAAACAATTCAACAAATTAATTGTTGTTGTAGAAGCATTATGTAACACAGCAGGAGAAAGGAGATCTGTGTAGAAAACTTTCAGTTTATTGATGTATCTACGCTGGTCAAACCATTTTGAGACAACTGATTTAAGTTCCATAAAATCTTCATCAGAAATGGCTGTAAAAAAATAAAATAATTATTTTTATAGTTTGTTAACTTTAAATTTTTATGAAATCGCACATATCAACAAAAGATTAATGCTTCTTTTGATCTTTCCTGCTAATGTATCACTTTGGACTGGTGGAACAGGTCGGCTCACATTTCCAGTCATTCATGAAGGGGGATGAAGTAGGGTGAGTGGGTATGATCGAACATCACTCAAAGTATCTTGGGAGAGGTAGAAGGGTTAAAACTATGAAAATCTAGGGGTTTACTAATTATTTTTCTCCCTGAAAAATTGTTTTATTCCCAAGCCCCCCCCCCCCCAACACCTAACTTTTGCCACTCCTACATTGATTTTTTGTCACAGAACCATTCTTCTAAATGCCAAAAAGAATGGCTCTTTTCTGGGCCTTGTTTCTACTGCTGTACTGTAGATCTGCTCTTACAAATGATTCTTTTCCATCAGTAAAAACACATTCACCAAAGTACAGCACATCAAAGTTGAATGTAGAATCAAAAACTGTGACTGCTTGAAACTGAGATGAAATATCTATCAATCTGCGCTTGTCGCATTACTTTGTTGTGGTTGCTTTGGTGCGAGTTGTCTTTAACAATAGTAAATTATATATTTAGTTCACAATACAAACCTTGGTCAACCTTTTGTCTTTTTGATGTTGATGCATCTCCACTACCTATAAAGAAAAGAGAAAATGGAATTTGAACATAAACATAGAAATACCTTCATGCAAATAATCTTCATCATCATGAATAAATGTTTTTTTTTTTAAATATAAAATGGTGTTTTCATTTATGATTTCAGAATGTTAAATTCATTCACATAAAAATACAAAGGCAAATTTATCATTATTTTTTTTTTACAAAAATATACAGTATTACATTGTTTTATCAAGATAATTTCAAAATTGTTAAAACAAAGAAACATTATTGTCTGGATTTAAAGTCAGAATCCGGAGGCAAAACAAAATTTGATATGTTGTAGAACTGATTTTTCTAAGTGAGAAAAAAGTTGTTTGACGAAAAACTGGGGAATGGTGAACGAGATACAGATTTTTGAATATTTAAAAACTGGGGGGAAAAGGGGAGTAACTGCCCATTTTTACACCTTTTTCCCCCAGTTTTTAAATATTCAAAAATCTGTATCTCATTCACCGTTGCTCCTGTATTCCATAATCTTGTGAGGCTTACTACTATCTGCAAACTGGTCCTATCAAGAATTCTGACTGTAAGTTTGCATTAAATAAAAAAAAATCCTCTCCCCTTTTCATTTCATTTCATTTATTAGGGAGGTTTCGCGAACTTGCGAAAACAATAACGAATACGAATATGTCATTATTATTATCTTCGTTCATGCCTAAAACATTCTTGACAATATACTGTACGAGCTGAATATGATCCCTGATTCATGCAAAAGGCATGAATAGCCTACGTAGTGACAAATATGCTACTGTAGAGGAAGGGTTAAAATAAACATCTAATGACGTAACCGTATTTGTTACTGCTTTAGTAAGCTTGCGAAAACTCCCTACTTTTTATTTAGGAAACATCAAATTCAAGTACATAATATATGCTAGTGCAAGCACATCTTTGGTAGTATACAGTACAAACCTTGGTCTTGCTTCTTTCTTTTTGATGTAGACACTAATTCACTATCTGTAAAAAATGAAATAAGAATATTAAACATAAACGTAACTAAAAATACTGAGCCAAAATATTCAATACTAAAAAGAATTTGTAATTAGACAAAAGCTACTGGTTTAGGCCTGTCTAGGAAACTCCAAAAGAGCTACCATGTGCCAGTCAATTTCAGCTATTGTCTTGAAATCAATTTAAACGCAATATAATTAAATTTATACAAATATCAATTAATCTAAAAACATATCAAAAAAATTAGGTCTATTTTCTTTATTAGTACAAAATGCTTTATAATGGAAGTGCATAGTGAGAAATATAAACCAAATGCTTTGTTTTTTTTTGTAGCCCCAAGAATACAATGGGTAAATGTAGTAGTGGTAAAAACCAGCGGGGATTGCTGAGTAGTAATAAATTCTAGTTGATATGAAAGATAAATGGACAAAAACAATATCCTATGATGAATCTATTTTATCTACATGCTGAATACCCAGGTCTGACAAGGAATTTTCCCCAGGGAGGAAGGAGGTTGCAGATTGTGTTGAATTCTACACTTTTCCAATGAGTAATAGTGGAAGGTACTACAGGAATATAATAGCCATATATTACTGTATAAGTTTATAATTGCCAACAATTTTTGTTTATATTTTACCTGATTCATTCATCTTTCTTGGTGTTTAGAACGTCTCAAAGGAAATGAATAACTTCAATCAAACTGATGGGCTTCACAAGCTTTCTAAAATTGACAATACAAAGAATGATACTAGTGAATTTATCACCACCACCAAGTATCTAGGTATTGCTGCCATTATATAAAATGATTGCATGCAGTCCTAAAATATGCTCAATTAATATTTATATTAATCAGAAGCACTACTGTGCCAATATACAGTTTTTGAAGTACACCAAAGATTAAACATCCAAGGGCACATTCAATCTTGTACAAATATTGCTTTCCGTAGCATTTTTTCAAGATGGTGTAATCACACAGAACTAACTTAGTGATACCTCAAGAAAACAATTCCAAAACTATGGTTGATGGTAGGGGCAAAAATGATTCATTGAATAAACACTGAATAAATTTTACACGACCTTGGCAATACCTTACAGACACGTGTGAATGCTTTATATCTCAGTCGGAATAACTCGGGAGATGGCTTGGTTACAATTACAATTTGTTATTTTTTGTTAAATTTAACTTCACGTGTGAATCGGGTATTAGTTTGACTCATGAATAGAGCAAGGAGAATAGTTGTGGTCTGATGTATTGTTTTACATAAACAAATTAAACATGTCAACAAAGTGTCTGGATCAGGAGCGGATCTGGGTTAACATTTAGGTGAGAGGGATGTCAAATATTTTCACAAAAACCCCAAAAAGAAAGGAAAAATGTTGATTTCTAGATAGCGGGAAATGAGCTTTCCCGAATTCTGAGGTGACTTTTAATTACTTTTTAAGTTCTTCAAAATCCAAGATTTTCCCTCATGAAAACGGTCAGGTAAACATCCTCATTCTTATTACAATAAATAGGCTTTATGTGTGTGTGTATACATACATAAAAAGATGAATTTTAAAGAAAGCAGGTTAGCTCAGTCGGCTAATCTGTTTGTAGCCACTATGTGTGTGCTGAACCGCTGAGATATTTAGGTCCCCGGTTCAATTCCCATCGCTGCCTTTCCTTGTGTTTTAGCTGGAGAGCTAAAATACAAGTTACAATAGCACACTGTCTTTTGGATAACACGTTTAAGCCGTTGGGCCCATGTGCCTGTAAAAGAACACAGTACACTCTTCGGAAAAGAGTAGGGGATTCTCTCCCGGTGTATTGTTCAATCACCACTAGGACCCCACTGGAAATAAGTCTTCTTCTAGACTTTCGTGGGCTATCCTTGGTGTTTACACCAAATCAATTCAATCTAATCCAATAGTTGCATACATATTCTTTTTTGCATGAATAGATAAATCACAAAAATAATGGAGGGTCTGAGAAAATTTTGATTCCCAGATGGCGGGAAATGAGCTTTCCCGACTTCTGAGGTGTCTTTTAACGGCTTTATGTTTTTCAAAATTGAAAGTTTCCCCCCTCTTGAAAATGGTCAGGTAAACTTTCTCATTCTTATTACAGTTAATACTAGTAGGCATGTTATGTGAGTATATACAGTACATAAAAAAAATGTGTTGTATTACTTATTCCTTTTTCCATTTATCGATGAACCGCAAAGAGAACGCAGAACGGGGGTCGGGGTACTCCCCCGGGAAAATTTTGATTCCTAGATGGCAAGTAATAAGTTTTCCTGACTTCTGAAGTGTCTTTTAATGACTTTTAAGTTCTTCAAAATTCAACGTTTTCAACTTTTGTAAACAGTCAGGTAAATGTTTCTCATTCTTTAAGGCCTATTAAGTGTGTACTGTTATACACAGAAAAAAATTTAGTAGTTGCATACGTATTCTTTTTTCCATGAATTGATGAACCCCAAAGAGGAAGGAGGGTCAAGAATTCTCACCCACCCCCCAACCCGGGAAAATTTTGATTTCTAGATTGCGGGAAATAACTACCGACTTTACAACAACAAAAAATCGGCTAACAGGTCCTGAAAAGATAGGTCTAGATTTATTTTTTTAAAAAATTTATTTATTTTCTTTATTTTTTTTTCAAGGAGAGGTCTGGGACCCCCCTCCCCACTGATCCGCCTACAGTATGTGGGTAATGTTATTGTCACATCCAGCCGAGCATGTGGAGTGAGCCTTTTTAGGAAAAATTCTCTCTAGCACCTTTCCAAAGCAAAATTCTCGTAGATTGACCAGACACGGTAGTATTAGCTAATAGACAATCAGTCTCGGATCACATGACCTCTCTAGTGGGTATAAAATATACACAGACTGTGTCGGTGATGTGTTGTAAGGTACATTGTTGATGTCAAATTATTTTGGTTGGAACGCCAGTAAACTATACCAAATTTATTGGAAATTTAACTTGAGAATATTGAGATGGTTTGCTAATATTCCTCTATTGCCCCCCCCCCCCAAATATAGAATTTTTTTTGAAAAATGTTAGTGTAGGCCAATGCATTACTACTGCCTGTTTATGTATATTGGAGTCTTTGATCCACGAACTGCAAGTGGGACATAGATTTATTTATAAGCTAGCTCACAAAGGATCACATAAATTCCAAAGCCTAAAAAGCTAGAGAACACTAGAATAAGTATATTTTGAGTAATCACAATGCCTTTCCTTGCCATGTATTTGTCATGTTAACAGTAGGTGGTTGTTTTCACAACCATAATATTACATTCTCCTATACTTTTACACCGATTATACTGCAAGTTAGACCCACTATACATCACATGACCACGTTTCCCAGTCACCGATTTTGTGTATTATGCAACCGTCCAAGCAAATACAGTGAAGTGTATTGGAGACTTGCACGCAATATGCATTTTATATTTTAAAGAATGGCCTGGAGTATGACACTCTTCCACACAACTGCTGTATGTTTTTTTTTTTCTCAAATGCTGTCAAACACGATAATGGTATATTACAGAGCAGCCAATCTAACAGGTGCGGACAAACTCAACTTTACACTTGATAGACAAAAATCATGTTAAATAAAGATGACTTACCTAAATGGTTTGTTTGAAAGACTCCCCTCCCCCCCCACTCCCTAAACTCTGCCTCAATAGCCCACCTCCAGATGTCTTTCTAAATCGTAGCATCACATCTTAATTGTTCATCCTGTAGTTTAATCTATGGCTGGTATGATTTCAAAGGAAGTCAAGCTCTGTAAAGAAATTTTTTAAAACCAGTCAATGGGATTGCACATTCTGCATTAAGCCACCGTCAACTCATATATTCAAACAAAAATTACTCAAAACAACAACATGATTGTGTTGCCCAATTTCAACTGACCTAACTTCTCAAGAACTGACTGACCATGGTTCCAAAAAATGTCAATCTGCTTTGGGCGACTATTAAAATGAGTCAAGTTGAATGGTTTAGTGGTCAAGATGCAATCACCTTCTAATCCCAAGCTCCTGGTTTCTATAATAGTCATGATTTTTTCTCACGGCTAAAAACAGCTACTTATTCCTTTACCTATCAAGAATTTAGCCCTATTTTTGTTGGTTATGTGCCTTGGGATGTTTGTTTACCAATCAGTGGCATATCTAGGGGAGGGCGGTGGAGGGGGAGAGAGGCATGCGCCCCTCCCCCAAATTACACTCACTCCCCCATCCCCCAAAAATCACCATATTTTGCAATTAGCGCCCCTAAACTGATCATCGAGCACACCAATTACGCCTTCAAATTCAAGACTTCTAGATACGCCACTGATACCGATTCATAAAAAAGGCGTATTATATTATATTACCCAATCAAGAATCAAAAGGAGGGAGTCCCCGAGCAAGATTAATGACTCTTCTAAGCCTCCCTCCTTATTTATATCACTAAGTAAGGTACAGTAAATAAACATCACCAAAAAGGTATATGCAGTAGCATGCTTCATAACTAGCTAGGCCTAGTCTAGCCTCCCTGGCTTTAGGCTTAGTTATACACGTTCGTAGTAGTAGACCTAACCTAGGTGTAGAAGTAGGCCTAGGCCTGCCCTATTCGCCTAGCCTACTGAGGCTATATAGACTAGGTAGGGAACTAGGCCTAGTTCCCTACCTACCTAGTCCTGACTCCTAGACCCTTGGGTTGGCCTAGGCCTAGGCTGGGTCACAGTATTATTCAGTTAATAAAAATGCATAAGCCTAGGCCTAGGTCTACTACTTGACAGAAGAATATCCTTCAAATTATACCCTGAAAAAGTGAACAAAATAAAGCCTAACCTAAGTTAGGATACAATTTTTAACTCTCTCCCTTATTAGGCCGCCGACGACTCTCTTGCAACCAACCAGGAAGTATGATCAAAGATCGTATACGATGAGGTATGGAACGCCATCGCTGCCTTCGGTAACAGCTTACCATTCGGCGCATTTACATTCGGCCCTTTTACCATTACGTTCGGCTCTTTTACCATTCGGCGCATTTACATTCGGCCCTTTTACCATTACGTTCGCCTTTTTACCATTCGGCGCATTTACATTCGGCCCTTTTACCATTGCGTTCGGCTCTTTCACCATTCGGCGCATTTTCATTCGGCCCTTTTACCATTACGTTCGGCTCTTTTACCATTCGGCGCATTTTCATTCGGCCCTTTTACCATTCGGTGCATTTACATTCGGCGTATTTACATTCGGCACAATTACAAATAAAATATAACCTTTGACATCGGGTCAAATAAAAAATTTCAACGGCTGTGGGAATGAGCCTATAGGAACTAGAAGAAGTAGGCCTAGAGCCTATGGCAGAATTATGGCAAAGAGTTTCATTAGGCAGTTTCATGCAATTTTAAAGTTAAATATTTCATTTTAGAAGTAATACCAATGGATTGTACATAAAAATAGGATTAAAATGAGGGGTCAACCATTCCTATGGGATAAGCCAAAGCAGAGTTACGGATTTTTGAACATTATTCGTTTCGACCAAAATGAGGACACTTTTCCAATACAAATCTGTGACTGTTGTGTGTAAACATAAGGTATAGGCATTAATGTATAGTAATTATTGTAGCTTATTGTATAGTGCAATATATCATAATATATTGAGGCTTGGACCCCGAAGAATGAAAAATCTATAAAACCATCACTTGATAACGGAACGAGGATGGCGTTACGCGTGATATGCATCACCGAACTTTGCTAATTGTATATTCAAAATGGCTGCCAGTCTCCTCAAATTTCACATTAAACAGTTAAATGTTAAGAATTAAAAAAAAATAATAATATCATGTGTTGTAAGTATTTTTGCATGTTTTCAAATCTCTATAGGAATGATTCTATGCCAAATTTAGCTGCATATTTCAAGAATACTTTCATTAAAATGGCTGTCACTTTTCAAAATGTCCGCCAAAACAAAAATCTTGGATAAATAAACAGACTTGGACATTGGTGTTTCTCCAGCAGTACCATGCTACTTCTAAGGTGTTGTGCATTAATGAACATTGGTATTGTAATTATATATTCAAAATGGCCACCAACTTCTGATGTTATAGTGTGTCTATATTTTGTTTTGTACAAAAAGAAACTAAAGAATATTATGTAATTTACAGCATCATGATTTTTTTAAAACAAAACACAGCTGCTGCCTAATTAAAAAAAACTAATTGTATGACTGCTATTCCACGGAATATTAGAAAATTATGATGCTGCAAAAATATGAAGTACAATTCACACTCAATAAACTTGGACAAACATGTAACTGAACATAATAGTGATGCATTTATTGATTAGAACCATAGAAACAATTACTGCATTATACTTTAATTACAAATATATTAAATTATTTTTCATTTATTTAATTATTTACATTATATTATTTTATTTACAATATATCATATTCTTCCCTGTCAGCTGCACACAAATGTCACATACTGCTTGGTGGGTAAGTGTAGTGCGGTTCAGCTCAAAAAACGGTCAAGTAGATGTCTGAAGTTCTTGATCCGCCTTCCTGATAGGAAAGATAGATGGTGTTAATATAAAAGAAATTAATGTAAATAAAATATTATAATGTTGAATGCAATAAAAAATATAAGGAAGTATAAAAATTTTATAACATAAAATACGAATCACATCATCTAATACTGTACATAATAATACTGGTAATTAAATTTAAGAAACTCAATTTACCATAAACAAAAAATACACCCCTATTTTATAATGTAACAATCCAAACCTGTACCACATCAATACCTAACTGGTCGATACAATTTTGTGATATGGTAAAAACAATTCCTTAATATAAAATAAGTTGATTATTATCTCGAGGGATTAAAGCTGGGACCTTTGCTTTCAGGTGGCCCTGTCTCTTATACACATCTAGATGTGTATAAGAGACAGGTGTATAGTATGTGTCTATGTGAATTGTGAACTACTACCTAATTTACAATGTACTATTGGAAGGTTTCGCAAATAAAAATAAGACTTTGCTTTATTATTATAAATATTTCTTTTGAATAAAGTACATTCTTCAGATATATTATACTTACATGAACTTCATTAGGAGTATGACTATGAGTGAGGTCTAGATCATACAACTTTCTTTAACCTGAAAAAAAAAACACAGAAAAAAATGACAGTTCATGTGGGGAATCTCTTACCTACACAGTAAAGTGTGTTTAACCTTGTTCCAGAAACATTGGATGACATTTTTTTTCTTTTTTCGAAAATGGAGAATTATTTTTTCTAAATTAATTATTATTATAGTTCAAACATTAGTTAAAAATCGAGTCAGCTGCGAACTTATTACATAAGTTATAAAAAGATATAGTCAGTGACAGCAAAAATGCCCGTTTTACCTTCTTCAGGTGGTATGGATACTGTTGATGGAGGACTAGGTCAAATAAAATAGAAGTGATCAGTAAAAATATTTAATAAACAATTTTAAAATAATGCTTAATGATTAAAGATACTACTTTTTCTTTTTAAACAAGCCAAATCAAACAAATCTACTGTATTAGGCCTAATGTTAGAAAGGACATGGATTTCTATTGTTGGTTTGGGTTAAATCCCAGCACTAGGAAATCAGAATCTGTTCTTACAATAACAA